AGGCCATTGAACCTCTTGGGTATACACTTCTTCAACTTCTTCACGTGCCATGACTTTCGGAAATTTTATTAGAGGGGGTTAGGTACTCGGGCACGGACAGACAGATTACTAGGTTGAGGTACATGATCCAGATGCTAGCGCCTGCAAAGATGTAACATGGTGTTTATTAGTCTGGAAGACGATGTTGTGATTCGTCTACGGCGACCCCTTATCAAGTCTCAATTAGGATTGCATGAGAAAATCCAGCATCCGAGTTAGGCTAAGAGATCTCAGATCCATCCAAACCAGTGATCTCCCAAGTAGGCGCTACCTTTTGTCAATGCCAATCATTTTGCTCGACCCCGTGCATCGGGTCACATCATTTTGGAGCATGTAAGTATACTTGTTCGGTTGTTTGATTCCCCACAGGCCACAGGCCACAGGGCCAAGTTGATTAGTCTCACCCGTCACTCTGGTAGCGAAGTGAACGAAGGCCTCAAATTCGACTACAATCAAGCCTACTGGCGCCTATCGGCAAGCCACGCTTCCGAATCAAAAGCATTGTGCTCGGTGGTGCGTGAAAGCAGCTACCTACATGTAGCTAGCTGAGGTATTGTACAATACCTAACGTATACCGACCAGTATACTACCAACGTCGCAGGTTCATCGTACGCTCAAGCATCCGAATCGAAGGAATAAGACTCGGCATATTTTTCGGATGACCTCGCCGCGCTTACTGAAGCTGCCCATGTCGTTACATAATTCTATTCCCAAGGGCCAACACCCTACCCAACACACCTGCAGCAGCTCAGCGAATACGAGGGGGCGGGTATCCCAATTTTGCGAGAGCGCGTTATTAACTTTTATTTATTTATTTTTTGATCTTCTTTCGAGTCCATGCGAGTCTCAGGACCCTACCAGCCTACGTCAATTCCACGCGCCTTACATTAACGTAGCCGTATGCACCCTGTTAGCAAGGCCTGTTGGCAAGGTCTGTTGGCAAGGTGTACGGATCCGTACCTACTACCAACAGCATTTTGCCGCCGTATTTACCCGGGCTTGAAGCTCAAGTAAAACAGCCTCTAGCCCCTAGAAGAGCCTCCTCAGATTAATAATCCACTATCCAAACACCTACGACCGACGAAATGAAGTCAGATGATGTTCCATTGTTTATCCATGTAATTCCGGCATTGCTCTAACCTATGTATAGGTTTCTTACGTTCGGTCCTTGACAACCATCCTGTTACATGAGTATCACGGACTAACAAACCAAACTATCACAGCTCTCTACGTTAATTAGGCCGAAACTTTCCACATGATGCCCCATATTTTACTCCATCTTCACGAAGGTTGGATGATGGTAGTATGAGCATGAGAACGAGCATGGAAGGATTGTTCCCTGCGACATGTGCGTTCCATTTTCTGAAGCAACCAGAATTCTTGGGATTATCAGATTGACCGATGTGGAAAGCAGATCTCTGATAACCCTGCCGCCAAGCACTGCATTGCCGATCACTCTTAACCACGAACCTTTCAGCTGCTGCGACTTTCACTAGCGACTCGACTCTCGACTCCTTATGTAAGAAGGGTTGGGTTTTCTAGCTATGTACATCATGTAAATCAAACCCTAGGTTAGTGGATACATACATACATTAGGTACTCACATCTATGGGATGTACAACGCCTGAGCGCCTGAACGCCCGAACGCCTGAGCAAACCCACAAGTGTGGATTGCGAATTTCAAGAAAGCAGGAATTAACAGAAGGCCTTACATGGGTGAACGTTGAGTATCAAAAGCACATAGGACGGCTTAGAACGCCATTGACGTCAACGACCGCCAATTGCCTTGATTCAATAAATTTTCTACAGAGTATATCCATGTTCTGTTGTCCTGTTCTCCTGTTCTAAGGCAACTGCCGCTTCTAACAGTTGCGCAAAAGACGGCTTGTTATAGTTTGAGTCAATGGGAGAAATCAATATATTATGTAGTGATGAAAAGCCAGTTAACCCTCTGGTAAAGACTATATTCAACCACTGATTTTATTAGGTTAGAGTCTTTAGCAATAAATTATTTATTTAGGTATTTATCACAAATGAAAACGTGACCCAAAACACTAACTAACTATGCTAATTATTATTATTCGCTATCTTTCCTCTCCCTAGTTTCGTTCGGCTAACAAAAGTTCAATTTTATCAAACTAACATAACTATACATGATTGGACCTCTTCTTTCTTTTTTCTCCCCCCCCCCCCCTTTTTTTGTCCCTTTTTTCCTTTCCCTTTTTTCCGTGTCTCTCTTCATTTGCCCCTACCCACGCCACGATCTCGTCTAGGTCATAGTGGAGCGTCCACTCATCACAATGACATCGAGTTCAGCTGAGATTGACAGGAACTAAACCCGCATTCCAATCAAATTTTCCAATGTGGCTAACTACAACTTTGATTCTTTTAACTATAAAAAGCCAATAGAAGATGCAAGATATATTATTGCAGCTCGTTCCCCAGTCATCGACTCTGCTCTGATGCTTATCCCGCTCTCAGACCACAAGTCGTCAATCAATTTTCAGATCCATGTCTCAGCCGCGGACTGCGAGCAAATTTCCAGCAGTCTGGATAGATACCATTAGATACCACGTACAATATACCATATAAACGTAGTCCGGGATGCAGTCCGGACATCTGGATGCTACCGTCCTCCCAAACGGGCATTCCGAAGGTCTGATTTTCGGTACATAGTAAAGGACAAGACAAAGAAGCAAAGAAGCTTACTGATTGCGGTGGATGAGTTCCACTTAATATCTTTTGCCAATATACCCAGCATGTGGTTTCGTCGTCTCCCTGGCCTCGCAAGAATAAGTGACGTGGTGATATATTGGCGCCTCTCGGTCATATGACAATTCCCCATATACCGGATGCGCGTCTAACCGCATACCCAAAGTTGTCAGCTCATCTATGCTGTGTTACCGTAGCGCCTTTCTGGCCCGTAAACATCGGTCAATGTTTCAAAAGTTTGTGAAGCATTGCCGTCTAGATCCTATATAAGACGACGCAGCCAATGGCAGCAAGATCCAACGAGGTAGTTGTATGAATTGTGGTTTGCATTACATTGCTCCCTGTCTTGTTCTATATGGCTTCTATCACTTATTAGCTGGCCGCCACGGTCTTGTATTAATTTTTTTTTCTTTCATTATAATTATTATTGCCACTTTGAACAGCCCCTTTTCCTAAATACATACTTCTCTGCATGTCAGATGCTCAACTGTGATACATAATCGTAGCAAACAATGATCCCCCCCCCTTTTATTTTTTTTTTTTTTACATGTTGCGGGCTAGATACTTAATCTGGCAATGGGCCGTTGGGTTTCTCGACACCCTCTTGTTTAAACGCGAAATGAACAAATAACGTGGCAGCACAGCAACCAGTAAACAGGTAGCTTGACACATAACATCTCATATTAAGCGACGCATTTGTCAGGCGGCAGGACGGCAGGGAGTGAGCCAGCCGCCTCTCAGGCGGTAAGATATCACACACAATGTATGCCTAGACCTGGGCATCCAGCTCCTCGTAGACACACGGTGAGACGGTATGGCATGTAGGCAGCTTTTAGAGGATCACGATCATCATCCAAGTAAGACGTGGCAGAGGATCGCAGTGAAGTTGGGCCTCCTCTTTTGCTTTTCCAGCTTAGGACCTCTTCTCGTGATGTGCTCAGCATGCTCAACGTGCTCGATATCTCACCTAGCAAGCAAACATCAAGCATGTTGGTATGTATGCATGTCTCGACGCGCTTAAACTTCAAACCAACATGGCATGAATCTTACCCGGGTTTTGCTTCTTACTATGCCACGTGCAAAGGGACGCTAAAGTAATATATTCTATTAATTGGATGTGGAGTTTATTCTAAGCCTGATCTAGCTGCCGTTATGCTTCAGTCCCGGAGCCGTGCAGCATGGTATATAGGCCGATACATACCACAAGCCGCCCTAATTCTCGAACCGTATACTCGGGACAAGGGACAAGCAAGCTATAGGATCGACAGAAGGGGTTAAATGCGGCTTTTCATTTCACATTCGACGACACTGGCGGTCAGAATGGCAGTTTCCACCGCTCTTCTGTGCTGACTACATACATGGTCTCCTAGGAGGCGAGTTCGTATAATGAATGGCAAGACTCAGGCAAATCTACTGGTTTCAGTATTGACAGGAGGGCGTTCGAAGTGAGGGTGAGATGCGGACTGCACTCTCGGTACAAACCTCCGCATTTGGCACCTTCATACGGCAGAAATATTATAGGGGCATATGTCAGCTTAGAGCTCGGCACTGCGGACGAATGACGGATTGATGTTTTAACTCTTACTTCTCCATCCTCTTTTCACCGGTCCCCAAAAATCTAGATAGGAACCAAGTACAACAAATACAGCAAAAGCGTAGCCTAACAACCGGAATATTTGCTTGTTCCTTATAGACATTAGTAATTCATCAAAGAGCGTAACCTAGAGAAGTGTGTTTGCTATAGGTGAATAAGACAAGTTACATATAGCCTCGGGCAACAATCCGCGCGATATATTCTGACCACCAGACAATGCAGGCTTACTTTCCGGCCCCCATGAGTAGTTGTCGGATGACGGTTCCGATGCGGATATTATTCTCGACCATGCGTGGGGGGAGATCTTACGACCTGGCTTGACCCCGAGACGGGGAAGGACAGCGGGATGAAACGATGCTCTCTCTCGTCCATACGTTGCATGTATCAGCAAGCGACATGTCTCCTAGACAGTGAACCTCTAGGTATCTAGGCAGTAACGTTCGACTAAAGGGAGCTCGTATAAGTTTGAGTAAACTAGCAAATCCAGCCGTTGAACTCATATCGAAGAAGCAGCCATATACCCAAGAGTTGTCCATATACTGGAACAAAATAAAGATTCGAAGTCGAAACATACTTCATAATACAAGCTACTGCACAATGAGTACAACTAAGAGTAGAGTCTGATAAACTTGTTAATTTAAACGGACTCATAATGCGATAACTACATAAAATATATTGTCTCTGTAGGTAGTTATACACTGAGAAATACAGCAAAGCAAGCTATAACTATTACTATCCAAGAGTCACGGATACCAAGTAGAGCGAGAGCGAAGCTTCAATACACAATTAGATATCCACGCCAACCAAGTAACGATAGACTTCAAGTCGGTATACACACAGACATCATCCCATCTATCTCTATCTCTCATCCTCCGCACCCAAGACCCATACTCAGCTCCCCCCTATCCTACCCCAATCTAACAAGTAAACACCTTCGGCCCCGCAGGCTGGTACTCCTTGCCGCCGTTATTATAGATATTGACCATGATGCCCGGGTCCGTCGCCTTGTACGCGCCGGGGAACGAAACCAGCCCTCCCGGCTGCGCGGCCCCCGAGCCCCCGCTGACGTGCACCTGCGCGCACGAGATGTAGAACTGCGCGCCGCCCGCCGTGGACGCCGAGTGCAGCGCTACGTGCTCGATCCGGAACAGGTAGTCGCCCTCTGCGAGGCACTGCGGGATCGTGAAGCTGAGCTCGCCTTTGCCTGGTCGGGGGGTTAGAAGGGCTGGTGGGGGTGGGGTGGGGTGGGAGGAAAGCGGCAAGAAGAAGAAGAAGAAGAAGAAGAAGAAGGGGAAAGAAGAAAGGGGGAGGAGGAGGAGGAGAAGAAAGGGGCCATACCGTTTGATGGCCAGGTGTATTGTCCGCCCGATATCGTGGGCATGTCCTGGTACACCTTGAACCACACGTTTCCGCTGCCGTCAAAGTCGGCGGCGGTCTTGCCGGACGGGACCTTGGCCATGTATGCCGAAAGGGCTAGAAGAAGACACCAAGTCAATAATGCATCTCATCTCATCTCAACTCATCTCGTTTCGTTTCGTTTCGTCTTATCCCAACTCGCCCATCTAGGAAGCAGTCCTAAACCCCCAAGGCTTCACCCATCCACACCCGTATATAAGATATATATAATAACGTACTGCAGATCGACACATTAGCATCCATCGCAACCTAAGCCAGAGCCGTGGCCGGGGACCCCCGCCGTCTCGGCAGCGATTACTACGTACCCTCCAGGGTGGTAGATACTCGGGTTCGCAACCCAAGTGATCTGGCCGCCGGCCTTGACCTGCGTGGTATCAGGGGCGCCGCCGGCGGCCCGCTGGTAGCAGCGAATAGCGTCCGAGCTGACGTCGGTCACAGGCCCGTTCGACTGGAAGTTCGCCGTCTGCCGAACGGAGCTCCATTCCGCGGTGCCCGCGAGCTTCGGGAACGTGTCTGCAATATGAGACGCTTCAGTCAGACCCGGTCTTCATATGCATATCATACCATATCATCTTCATTCTCTACCATAGAAACATGAAGCACCAGATATTAAACTGGGTAGCGAGTGAGTGAGTTTACGTACAATGCGGAGCGGCCTGGGCGCTGGCTACGAGGAGTGCAAACGCTGCTGCGGTCTTCATTGTCGCTAATAGTATCGTAATGTTTATATATTAGGTAGTTAGTTGTATATACCTAGGTTAGGTGGGTATCTAACTAGACGAAAAAGGTCGTTGAGAAGACGGATACAGCATTAATGTCCTACGCAGGCGAACAACATCCACGCCCCAGCGACGCGGAAGCAGGAAGGTCATCATCTTATACTAAGTACTACCTATTTCTAAGCGGGAACTTGTAGAGGCCTAAACCGAGACGGAATCTGTCCTTGCGTTTACCGGGTATGGTGTAGTCACCCCTGTGTTTGCGGATAAATAGAGGTCATTTCCGGTTATTATTGGGCGGCCACTCACGAGCACGCAAAATGACATCGTCTGGGTCTCGCTACAAAAACAAGTCGGCAATATGACGCACTTATCTAAGAATAGTATACGAATGTCGTGAACATGACCAAGACCACCATTCCATCCCCGCGAAACCCGATACGGTCGACGTTGATTCTTAGCAATCTTTACAAATGCCTTAGTATAGAACTCTCGTGTTAAGGTAGTAGACCTTGAATTCATGCTACGTATTCATTTGCCTTGTCTCCTAGCGAGAACAAGACAGACGATAGTCTACATATACATATGACCTTGTAGTAGGTCTTGAAGCAAGTCCAATCTGCACAAGTCAGCAAGCAACATACCTCTCTCTCGACTTGGAAGTCAAAAATTGGCAAGTTGTACGATCTCGAGCCCACAGTTGCTTCTCGTAGAACCGAAGCAGAATTCCGCATTTTCCACGTTCTCTCATGTTTCTGTAACGCCTGCATCTTGTTGGGTGACCAAATTAGGTAGGGCGAATTGTGCAAATCTGTATGGACATGCACAGATACCTTCGCAAAGCGTCGACACAAAACGACTTCTAAACATCCGTGCCTCTAAACACAACGCCATCTGTGCATATGTGCAATAAAAGAAAAGGGAATGCAATCCGGCAGATACCTTACGACTTTCTAAATATCCCTAATGGAGGCCATCACCACCGTCGGTTGTTGATGGGCAGAGAGTTAGCACCGCCAGCACCACCGCCAGCACCGCCGCCGCCTATTGAGAATAAATATTAGTATTGCGTGTCTGAAAGCCTACAAACCAATAAGACATACCTCGGTGACCACCACGACCGCCGTAACCTCGTCCGCCGTAGCGGCCTCCGCCACCGCCGCCGCTATAGCGGGCCATCTCATGAAGTCTAGGATCAATTTGCTGTTTAGCTTCTTGAAGAACTGCGACTAGATCACGAGCCTGCTTAGAATCTGGGAAGTTGTTAGTCGTAGCCATGGCAATATTTATTAGGGGACGCCTACTGTCAGCAGTAAATAGAGTAATGGCAGTGCCATTAGCGCCAGCACGGCCAGTTCGGCCAATACGGTGGATGTAATCCTCCGAGTTGTTCGGGTAGTCATAGTTGATCACATGAGTGATGTTGCGCACATCTTAATTACAATCTAATGTTAGCCAAACCGAAAACCAATGTTTCTGTAACAAGTCCCAGCGACGGACGTGCTGTGCCTAAGTATATTTTCCGTGCTTTCTCCTTGGAGAATTGGGGCTGTCTGTTGCATCAACATGCCAGTTTGGAGGAATTCCAATAATCTGGTCTGGGTCCTAGGATCTGGGAGTCTGGAGATAGCTTGACAGAATCAAGAAATGCCAACTCCGTAGCCGTACCACGGGGACAGTAAGGTACGACAACGGAACATGGGTATAGTGCATCCGCTATACCACGGGACCCCAATATTCCTGAATAGATGAGAACCACAAGACACACTGGGAGATCAGGCAAATGCGCAATCGAGAGAGCCCCTAGACATAGAGTAAAGCACAGCGGATATAACTCTGCTGGAAGTTGATACGGGGGTACGGGGAGGGGACGGGGGATTTGCAATCATACCAATACCACGAGAAGCAACGTCGGTGGCTACCATAATGGGACTTTTTCCGGTCTTGAACTGGTCAAGGACCCAGTCACGCTCGTTCTGCTGTTTGTCGCCGTGAATAGCTACCGATGAATTAGTCTCAAGCCGCATCAAAAGTCAGACATTTGCATAAACTTACAAAGGGCCGGCCAGCCATCTTGACGGAGGAATCGCGTAATCTCGTCAGCGACTCGCTTCGTACCTACAAATAGAAGGCATTTGTTCTCCTTGTTGTCCATAATCTTCTCAAGATGCTTGATCATACGATCGCGCTTTTCACCCTCGGACACAACCTCGACGACTTGCGTAATACGATGGTTAGCAGACAAGTCTAGGGATCCAATGTTGACCTGAATGAAGTCGGTTTGGAATTCGGCAGCTAAAGCACGAACTTCCTTGGGCCAGGTAGCAGACCACATGAGAGTCTGACGGTCAGGTCGAATCTGGCTGATAATCTTGCGAATCTGGGGCTCGAAACCCATGTCCAGCATACGATCAGCCTCGTCGAGGACTAAGTAAGTCACTCGGCGCAAGTTAGTCTTACCACCCTCGAGCATATCGATCAAACGACCAGGAGTGGCAATGCAGACCTCGACACCCTTCGTAAGGTCGCGGATCTGAGGACCACGAGGAACACCTCCATAGACACAGGTGTTGCGAATGCGCGAAGACTTGCCGAATTTAGTAATCTCCTGCTGGATCTGCACAGCTAGTTCCCGAGTAGGCGCAAGAACAAGCACGATAGGGCCATCGCCAGGAGCTAAGAGAGGCTGGGCGTTGATGTGGACAATTGCCGGAAGGCAGTAAGTTAGCGTCTTACCGGAACCTGTCTCGGCAATACCGACGACGTCGCGACCAGAGAGAGCCATGGGCCATCCTTGAGATTGGATGGCAGTAGGAGCGGGGAAGCCTTGTGCCTTGACTTCGTCCATCACATATCGAGGGAATCCAGCCTCATCGAATGTCTCGACAGGTTTGGGAACATCGTGGCCTTGGATAGCTATTTGATGATCTTTTCGGAATCTCTCAACTTCACTGGCGGGTCGTCGTGCGACAGCTTCGTCCTCCTTGTAGAAGGACTTCTCGAATTTGGGAAGAGTACCGAGATCTATCGAGAACGAGGTTAGTCATGACATGGGTAAATAACTCAAGAATCAGGAAAGAACATACCCCAGCTTTGCTTGTGTAGACCAGCTCCGAGGTTAGACATTTTGTCACCGCCTCCACTTCCACCATAGCCGCCACCGCCACCTCCTCCGTAACCACCACTGTTACCGCCATAGCCATTGCTAGAAGAGAATATACGTTAATATCGATAATCAAGGGAAGTTAAAGTGCGGTGAGACAATCAAATGCAATTCTTACCCGTGACCATGCTCTTGACGACCACCTCCGTGACCGCCTCCGTACTTGTCGTGGCCATTAGAGTAGCCTCCTCCGCCTCCTCCATTACGGGAGTTGTAGCCACCGCCGTAAGACATGATGTATTTTTTGAGTCTGCGATGATCAAGTTAGAGATACGCGAAGTGAGAATGTTCAGCGCAAACGAGGAGAACGATGTCGCGTCTGATCTGAGTGAGGCGATTGATTGTAACAAACGCGATCTAAAGTGCAGCGTGCGATCTGCAAGAAAAGGAGCGGAAAATGGGAAATTATGAGATGAAGAGTTATTGAACTCGGTGTGGTAGAAGAAAAGGGTGTGGTGATGAGTTTTTGAAGTCAAGAAGAATCCTGAGTCAAGTAGTTGAATTAATTTTTTTTTCTTAGTCTCGAGGGAAGCAACAGTCTAGGCCTAACAGGTATGCAGGGATGTGGTCTGTGCACGCCCTTTCCCTTTTTTGCCTCGCGCAATTCCAAGGTTGCTATTACATACTACCAGGGTACCTACATACTGTACACGTCGGAAGTGGAGGTACGTTAAGAAAGTACTATGTACAATACATAGGAGAAACTGTGTGCTATGCAGCTGCCGGCAGGTGCTATCAGCTTTCGCCACTAGCAACATAGGTAGGTATTGAATTAATTAAAATGGTACGTTAGGTACCTATGTACCTTATGGCTTGATCGATAAAGTACCTAACCTAGGTACATAAAGCATTCATACACCAAAATGCAAACGACTACCATCTATTATATATCCTCTCCAGATGCCCGCGCTTCCCTTCTATAGCGATTCGACCCTACGAGATTCAACACGATTTAAGCTGATGGGAACATCTCCCAAAAACCAATTTCCATCTATCACAAAGTTAGTATTACGCGATATCGTCTATCCCAAGTGTCTTACCTTCGTAGCGTGGATGAAGATCTTGACCAGCTCTTCTATCCTTGATGGAGATTGTAAGACTGCATTCTTTTCCATCAGAGCTGTCACCAGCATTCAAGTCAGTATTTTTCGACAAAGTACCAGGTAGTCGTTAAGGGGCCCTTCTTACCAGACCCGGTCCCTACCGCCTCCACGTAGTCCTCTTCGATATAGTTCACGATCCATTTCCAGTACGTGTTACCCTCCGTCTTTGTTCTTGGGTCGCCGTGAAGCTGTTTTGCAATGGCTCCATAACCAAGGAGGCAAGGGGCGAGTGCAACTTGAAGGCCAAGCCAATCTTCCGACTGCCCAATATCAAGGACGTATCTCGTGTATGCAGTGCATGCTAAACTATGAGTTAGCAATTGGGTGTCAATGTGCGGTGGTGAGCAAGGTTGGGGCGTTATACCTTGATGTTCCTCTGTCGCCTCTATCTCCTCTTTGGATATGCCGAACTCTTTACAATAGTCAAGATGGAGTTTCATCTCAGTATGGATATGCGACACCACTTTAGCGCCCTAATTGGAATATTAGCATCAACTAACTTCTTGTTTAATAACCACCTACGGCTCCAATATCCTCCATATTCTTGGACTTGTATGAAGCCAACGCATTTGCCCTTGCGAATTGAACTAGGTATAGGTAGTCTTGTATCAGATAGCCTTTGAACGACTCGAGGGGCAGTTCTCCATTCCCGAGACCGAGGACGAATGGATGGTTAATAAATTGGTGCCACACTGGCGATACGTCAGGTCGCTCCAAAAGGTATTCTAAAAAGTGACCCCTTGTTGACATTAGCAGGGTAGGTTCGCGTTGAGTCAGGGGTAAACTAACTGAGAGAATGGAAGAGTCAGAACTGAATGGAAATGATTGATTGGACCATGCCCTTTTCCGTATCCGGGTGCGGTCTTGATTCCTGCTTCGACATACCGACAAGCGGCCTTGACGGCTTCTACAGGTTTCAGTCCCTTGGAAAGATTGGAGGCGATGGCAGAGGCAAGTGAACATCCCGTTCCATGTGTGTTGGTTGAGTCTATGTATGGACTTTCGATCCTCGTGGCTTGTCCCCCTCCAAATAAAAGGTCGACGACCAACTCCCTTTCCTCGGGGGTCGTAGCTATCGAACCGTCTTTCTTAAAAGGCACATGGCCGCCTTTGACGAGAACCCACTTTGGTCCTAATTCCAGTACCTTTTGGGCAATTACTTCCAAGTCGTCTACACGCTGGATGTCGACAGTTCCCTTCCCGCTCTCGGAGAGTAGGAGTTGTGCCTCGGGAATATTTGGAGTAAGGATGAACGTCTGTGGGAGCAGCAGAGTTCTTAACTCATTCACGGCTTCCAGGGGTAGGAGTTTGGCGCCAGTAGTGGCGACCATAACCTGTTTAGATTAGGCCATCATGATCTTTCTCGGAAAGACCATCAAGCGAATGAACTTACAGGATCTAATACCAACGTCTCAACCTTGTAATCCTTCAACGCCCGTGCTACCATTTCAATAGTACGTGCAGATGCTAGCATCCCTTAACGGAATCTAGATAAGCTTCAGTGCAACGGGCTGGATGATCTGATTACTCACCAGTCTTTACGACCCCGGGTTTAATGTCCGTAAAGACAGCATCGATCTGCTTCCTTACGAACTCAGGGGGTATGTGGTGTACATCACTGACACCAGTAGTATTCTGAGCCGTCAACGCTGTCGTGGCAGTCATAGCATAGCAGCCATGAGCTGCAATAACTTTCTGGTCTGCCTCGAGGCCACTGTTGATTTACATCGACGATCCTGTCAGTTGAGGGCGTGAGGGTCGGATGATAGGTTCATGAACTTACGCACCACCGCTTGAATCGCTCCCCGCGATAACAAGAATTCGTCTATTGGCCATGATGCAACTATGTAGAGTCCTACGGATCAACTGACCTTCCTAATTAAGGCAGGGAGTTATATGTACAGATTGACGATACTCGCACGAACTTCGCACGAACTTTCCCGTGTTGCGCGAGATTTCTTTTTAAGTTCTTAATGGGTTGGACTTAAAAGTAGCTCGATGAGTGGGGCTAATGCCATCATCCATCCACTCACCGTCGTCGAGGCCATCGTCTGTACGATACGTATAAGTGATATGATGTATACTAGGTATGTAAGTCACTGGGTAACGCTGGTCCAGGAAAAGGGGATTTCCCCCTATTCGCATTATCAAACTCGAATATCACGCACTTTTCTACAAAGAAATACACTAGTTATACGGCATAGGACTTCTATGTCTAGACTATTATATGTTAGGTACTTAGCCGGTAAGCATTTGCCCAGCCGAACTGAGCGTAGGTAGGTATAGTATAGTTTCTCGTCCCAATCATCCTATCCAAGGGGATCTTAGTCGGTGTGCTTAACAACTAAATCATGTATTTAGATGCAGTTCCTGACTGTCAACGTCACCTCCCTACCCCCAACTCCGTAAGCCGTTCTAGTAGTACAAGAATAAAAAAAATTGCCGAGTGTGAAAATGCATGATCTGATCCCAGTGCGGTCCTCCCAGCCCTATTTTGGATGTAATTCTCAATGTAGACCTCCCGCTCCTGGGAAGTTCAGTTGCTCGTTGAACCCATCGGTCCCTTCGCACCGTCCAAACAGCCAGCGTAATCTCTCCATGTTATCCCGGAGTTCGTCTCTTTCCCCTTCCAGGGCAGCGCATTCGCGCTCTAAGGCTTGAATGTGACGCCGAGCCATATCTAATACTTCTGCTTTGCTGACTCTGCGGTCAGTCAAGTCCAACGATTCCCCTTCGTCGTCACCCTCGTCAGCTTGCATAGTTTCTGGTAGAGCATCTAGCAGGCTTTCAAAGTGAGCATTAAGTCTGTTCCGATACTGCTTTTCCACCTGGTTATGCGTGTCACGGCTTTTTTGCTCTTCGACTGTAGCTGGGGGGTTGTGGTGCGTGTTTTTGCTTGTGCGAGAAGCACTACGGAGTCTAGATTTGCTAGAGTTTGATGTTGAAGACGTGCTTCCAGGCGAGAGTACCTGAGGCTGCTTAGACTTTCTTGGCCGTGACGAATGCTTATTCTTTTTGTGACTAGAACCAGTCGATGCCCCTACCGATGGAACGCGCGGACTCATTGTTGCTGCTCCATACCCTGGCGGATAGTTATGGTGATAAGTATCGGTAGTATCGACGGACCTGGACTCTGGTGGTACGGCTTGGTAGAACGGGAGGCTGAAGGGATCTCCTGTGGGTGTGGTGAACGATGCTCCGGTGGAAGATCTCATGTTCACATCCGTCGGATTGTGGCCACCCACAACGTAATACGGGATACTCGGGGCTGAGGCAGGAGGAGCTGACTGACTCTGGTAGCCTAGCATGCTTTCGGGGGACCTGTCGGGTACAATAGTTGGATAAGAGGCGTACGAGACGTTTTGACCCTGTGACGATGCATGTTCGCCTCTGTAGTAAGTGTCGTCGGAGACGTACGCCGACGACAAGTGCTCTGAAGAAACCATCTGGGTATTGTTGTTAGTAGATGATAATCGAAGTTTGCTTTGCTGAAAAAGGGTTGTCTGTCGGTTGTAAATCTGATGGCTTTGGGTCTGGACAGACTGGTTTTATTCACTAGCCGTAGTCCTACGGGGAGGCTCGATGAGACCTAGTCGGAGGCATCCGTGATGCTTATGGAGCCGGCAAGGCTAGTAGGAGTGCCAATAAAAATAGACAGCGGGTAAGGGTGACACCCCTCGGGGGCTTTCGGGCATACGGTAGGGGGTAATCTAGATTGGCCAACCAACTTACTTGAACGGGCAGAGCAACTGAGATACCATAGCATCCAGCATTATACGGCATGTTCCATATAGAAACTTGGATCAAGTTTATGCTACACTCGACTAGCAGGTCTGAGGAATAAATAGTAGGGAATACAACTGGAGGCAGTGTAGTAGATGGTATGTAACTATTCTACAAGAATAGTCAGGCTGGGTTGTTTCGATCCTTAGACGAATCTTCTCCAAGTACGGGCTCTCTCACTCTTAAATATACCATGATAAGCAGACTATTATTGTTATTATTATCATACTAGCGAAAGCCCTTATGTACTGAGTAGTGACCAGCCAATATAACAGGACGCTTGCATAGTAGACGATGGGCTCTAGCTAATCTCCAAAAGACGCAAGCAAGGTAGCATGGATGTCCGGGCTTCGGCTCCAGAGGTCACTTGGGTAGCATCGAGTTGGGAGTATATGCCATGTGCCGGTGGGTAAAGGGTTCTTGGGATGGTACGGCATCATTGTGACATCCTGATATACTCCATGCTATTCGGCCGCCGTTCCCATAGGGCAGAACCAGAATCAAGGAAAATTTGGTACGAATGCATGTCCCCGAAGAATATACCATCTTAGGATGCGGTTCGGATCGTGGGCTTTTGGAACTCAGGTATTTCTTGAGGTAGGATTAGAAATATTGAAGGTTTCTATATGGAGAACTGGGGAATCGTTTCCCGGCAGAAGACGTTTTCAATGAAGATCCTCCTGCGGCTCTCGAAACGCCCAGGTAGGGAACTTTTTGAGCTATCATGCTTTGTTTGGGAGTTCTTGTACTACCTCGATACCCATGTCTCAATGCATTGGCATGACCACCTATAGACAAACTACCTACATAACCGAGTCGAGTATGTAGGAGGTGTATCTATTACGCTTAGCAGAGTTTTTTCTTGGCCTAAGGGCGTCCATGTAAGAGGATGGTCATAGTTGGATTCCTGTTCAATATGAGCCTCGTTTCTGGTAACTCCTGCGCGCTATAGATAACATTATCCTTTTGGGTACGTGGGGTAGTTAGCCTATAAGGTTTGTATGTCTAGATCATGGCAAAGATCATGGCAATGAACTTCATCGGTCCTATTGTCTATTCACGTATTGAACCCCAGATCCCTTGAATCCATCACCGGTCCCGAGAGCTGAATTCAAGTAATGTATTAGAGTTGTTGTAGATATAATTAGGTAGTGATCATTTCGATATGCGGCCAGCTAGCTTATTAACCGCTTTGGAATGAGTTGCGCTCTGGTGTTAAGTGTTATTAAACACTAACAAATGTACGTTACACGGATTCCTTACTGTTACCTATAATTAAGGTCGCGTATCCTAGTTGATTCCGGGGTTGATGTGGTGCTCTGAAGTAAGCACATGTGCATGTAAAAGAAGACTCAAGTTACCTAAGTCAGATAGAAATCAGCTCGGTTCCGGAGGGGAACGCGCCGCAGATCTTTTAATGTCGAGTCGTCCAATCAGCAACCTCCCCTCATCGAATAAACAGAATCCTTCTCTTTACAAACTGTATTGTAAGCATGAGTTTCAGGCCCAGAAGGAACGCCAATGCCGTTAAGGGGGGCGTAGTTCAATTGTAACGAGCGGGTCTCCCCTATTTTGGTTCTTACGGAGGATTCTACATCTTGGGTTTCACTGGGTATGAATATTTGGACACCAATAAAATAAGAAACCAAACTGACAACAGTCTATCATGGCATCTTACAATCTGTTGACTTGAATCGTATCAATTTAATAAACCTATAGTTATCACTGATCTGTTTACCTATTTTTACAAGATAGGGGTTAAACAGGACTCGTAATAACTTCTCTCTCTAAAGCTGTGAGCACGGCTTGGTAGAACTCATCTCAACATGCTCCAGGTGCATATGGCTTATTTTTATACATTGGTCCTATTGGCCACAGTCGTCTCACCTTGTTGAAACCAGAAAGGGTCGACGCTTTGCTAAGTTCGCCAGAGGGATATTCAACAACTTCCTGGAAAATTACCCCTTGATGAAGTTGGGTACGGCGCAGTCATCTCAGCCTAAGTGATACCTTGTATTACCGAATTGCTACTGACGATGCGGTAGTAAACCTACCTAACTATACGAAACTCGACACTCATCAACGAGTAGTTAACGTAGACTCTCATCCACATTGTCTGCGGAAAGCATCCGATCGGCTATATCGTTGCGCTATCGGTCACCTCGTAGCGTCTTGATTATAAGAGACGTTGCTATATAGCCGAAGAAGCGCCACGTGCATTTCCCTATGCGGTGCTAGACTGTCTAGATTTTGATAGGTGCCTTCCATGGACGAATATATCGGAAAGCTGCAGGAGTTTGCGCATTATACTGTTCGGATCTGCCACTTTCATTGTCACTTGATCTGTGACTTGAATCGCATAGAGCTCTTCTCGCTGGGCTTACATGCTTAAGCCACTCCCGGATACTCTTCAATAGAGCGCGACTTAATTTTCACGGCCGTTTGACAAGATTTCTACCTAAATTCCTGAACAGGTATGATGGTTCGAAGTGACCTCCTGTCTCTTGGGAGTTTCTGCGACTGCAACTGGTTTACCGCTCTGCCTTCACTAACGGCTCAACTTATATTACTGCAAATTAAATGACGTCTGTGAGAGGTTTAACCAACAGGACTTGATGGATGTCCTGCGAGTAAAACCAGAAATCCAGCATGTTTTTCAGCAGACAGCATGTGTGGCGGTGAAGAAACGTTGGTGACTGTTCTAACCATCCCCAGTATTCTAACCTAGTGCTTTGCATTCATACCGATATTTCATGGATGCAAGCGAGCTCGCAGAACCGAGTATGCATTGCGTTAGGTATCAAGAGGGAGAGAGAACCTTCACAACTAGCGGTGGCGATTGGGCATCAACTCTGAGCTAAAGTATAGTTGCCTTTCAATAACTTCAACGTCTACAGTATGCGACTTCATTGCTAACAATTAACGCTAGTCCGCTACAGAGGCCCCTTGGGGTACTTTAAAATAGCCAACATGATAGCTTATTTAACGAAATAAGCCCGGATTCTTCACAAGAATCTTCTTACGCTTCGACATGGAGCATTCGATCCATCACAGACCCATGTTGTATTAATTGATGCTATTGATTGCTGAGGTCCACCTAGAGAACTGCAAGTCGTGTTGGTGCTCTGAGAACGCAAGCAAGAAGTGGTAAGACAACTCTGT